AATATTGTACGCATGAATATACAAGAAGACGTCTCACAAATAATAAAAATTGATTAAGGTGAGCACACATAACATACAATACCTCATTCTCAGTCCACACATAACCTGAAAACTGACTTATATTCTTCTTCAAATTATGAGCCTGCACAAGAACATAACCAATTAAAACACACTACAAGAAAAGAAAAATAAAATTTGAAAAATCTACCAGATAATATGAGGGCAAAGCACCTGAAATCACTGAATAAAAAATTTAACCAAAAATTAACCTTTGCTTTTTTCCCAAAGAGAATTGTGTGAAGTAATTGCAGGTTGTCATCAATTTTTCGCTTTGACAACTTGAAAGCAACTGAAACAGTTCACAATATCAGACAAAAAATAGGCCAGGGTGCTGTAACAAGAAATTTTAATAGAAGTAAATAACACTTTGTCTGCATAGTCAATTCACATATAACAAGAGCTATATACTTCTCTCCAAAAACAAGAGCTATATACTTTTTCCACCTCTCAATGTGCAGGAATCCTACATGTGAAAATTTGTGACATCTAGCTAAAGAAAATAACCAATTAGAACCATGTCAAAATAAACTAAAGAGATCATAACTGCCACTAAATCATCCAACTTCAGGTCGCACTTCAGCTATAACACCAAGAGCAATGTAAATAAGATTGAATGCACAGTGGTGTTCCATAATTTGGATTCAGAACTAAAATCATTTTAGTATTCTAATTCATGGGTACAAGCTCCAGTCCCTTGTTTCAATATGAATATTTGGTATTACAACAACTCGAGGAACAACACAATGAAATTCATATCACAAAAATTTGTTTCTTTTTTTCCAACTTATTTATTTTCCCTTTAATCCTAAGTACATAGCAGCCAAATAAGCATGGCTTAGTTGGCTGTCTTAACTCAAGGCTCGTCTTTGCATTCGACACCAGTTCAACTCAAAAAAAGCCACTACTTTGAGAAGATGGGTATCAACTACATAAGGCTTTAGAATTCCAAACTTAGACTGTCAATAATGATGCAGTGAAATACCAACACATTGAAAAAATGAAAAGGATTGATCATGGAAAAGGAGTGCTCTTAGAAGTGGTTCTTTAATTGGAAGATAAAATGGACTCCAGCAGTCCATCAGAACTGGGACGGTCATGGATACAGAACCAGCATCACATTAAAACGCGAGTTCAGGTAAAACAATATATGAATTACGAGCCCACAGGTAATGTTCTAACTTCAGAACTAATAAAACTAAAGCAGCCACCACATTACAAGTGCCAAACACCTAAATCCAAGATCCTTTGTGAGGACTCTAGATTCAATAGTACTACCAACACCAAATTGGTACGCAAAAACATAACTATGCCAATGAAATGAAAGGAAACACGAAAGATCTACTTAAAACAAATAGCAACCCATTTTGGGTCATTTTCAGAAAGGCCAGAGAACATTCAGTGTCACTGACATTGTGTGTCACGGCAAACCAACATGCAAAAATATTAACCGTTTTAGCAATTGAACCATACTGACAACAACTTTAACAATAACTAATTTATCAAAAGCAAGAACAAAAAACGGAAGAAAAAAAAAAACTCATACCGTTTGGAATGTTCTTAAGTTCTGTACCGCGACCCTGAAATCACAAAAACCAAATCAACAAAAATTAGGCTATCAAAAATTCGACAAAGATGAAATGAGAAGGCACCATTTCTCACCACCATACCTTCTCAATGTTCAAAGCTTTATTCGCCGAAGACCTTCCACTCTCGGGAGCTGAGTAGCGCTCAACTATTTTCCTCTCCCTTGTGGGCCTCTCACTCACCGGTGTTACCGGCTCCTTCTCTTTCTTCTCCGCCTCAGCTTCTTTACTCGACTTCTTCCCTGACGAGTCTCGGCCCCGCCTCTTGGGCTCGGTCTGGTCCTTCTCCTCCTTTTTGGAGCTAGTTTTTCGGCCCCTCTTCGCCTTCTTCGGAGTTTCTTCACTTTCTTTCTCTTTCTCCTCTTCGCCTTCTTCACCAACTTGCTCTTCCTCGTTTTCAGTCACTTTCTCCGAAGCTTCCGGAACATTCTCCTTCTCTCCCTCCTTTTCTTCCTCTTTCTCTTGTTCTTCTTGCTCTTCCTTAGGCTCCACTTCGGCTTCAGCCTCTTGCTTCTCTTCAAGAGGAGCTTCGTCTTCCGGTTTCTTGTCCTCTAGGGATTCGGTAGCCATGGGTACGGAGCAATCAAGTACAGATCGAGAATTGGACAACAACAATTGTTAAAACCCTAGATTTGTGGTTTTGGGAAATGGAAACCCTAGAAATCACAGAGCTGGGAGCTGAGGGGAGGGGCCTATGAGCAGCCTACAGGTATGTAAATCTAAGAGAAAGACGATAAGTGAAATTAAAAATTAGAAATTGGGGTTGTGAAATTGGTGGGAATTGAAATTGGGGGGTTTTAATTTTTCGGGGTGATTTCGGGCGGGCTGTGGAAATATAAAGCGAGGGAGGGTTTGGTGGGGGTTTCAAAATTTCATGCCAAATTTTTGAGAGCGGGCTCCTGTCCTTTTACTACTACTACTACTAGCTAGTCAGCTACTCTCTCTCTCTCTCTCTCTCTCTCTCTCTCCACCAAAAAGAAATTCAGTGGGTACGTACGTACAAACAAAGCTAATTTTGCCACGTGTCCATTATGATTTGGTCACATTGCCCATTGGCTATGTGGCTAGTTCCAGTTCACAGGGAGGCATATATCCCCTTGTTTTGCAAAGGTGGATTTGCTAACAAATGTTCATAGCAATGTTGAGAAAGTACATTAGTATTACTACCTCAAAGGAAAATGCTAGCGTTAGTCTCACGTGTGTGGGTGGGTATCAAATTGATTACTTGTTGTGTGTTTTTGTTTTGAGATCTACACATAATTATAAGTATATGTGCATAAGAGATTGACTGTAACACTCTAATGGCTAAAATTATAACGATAAAATTGTATTATTTTCTCAGAACAAGTTTGGAATAACTGAGTTTAAGCATGGTCAATATTAGATTTCCAATTTGTTCATAAGAGCATGTGACAACAGCCTATGAATGTAAATAAAGGGGATTTAACTCAGTCCCACTTGTTATTTCAATGTTGATTCTCATCCATTTCCATTCAATCAAATTCCCAAAAACTAGTGCTTTACAAGTCATTTATATGTGAATTTAATTAATATAAATAATAAACCAAACAAGCACTCATGGATTCATATTTCATATTAAAGGCTCAATAAGTTTCTTCAATTAGGCAGTTGGCTCGTGCATGTAAAAATCACGAGGAAAAGGCAAGGTTGCTATAATATCAGTTCACATCAACATATACACAACACCTCTACCATGTATTCATTTATTTAAAATTTGGGATGCATGTAACATTTTCAAACCTTACTTTAATGAACAATGTTTGGCTCATGATATCAGGAGTCTTTCTTTCTCAACACAAGATGTGGCCTCTTACAAAACAACACTTGTTTTTTTGTTTTCTTCTTTATTTCACCGTCTCTCTCTCTCTCTCTCTCTCTCTCTCTCTCTCTTCAGACATGGAAGAGAGAGAGTGACGCCAGAGAATTTTTTCCCCCCAAGTCGTACCTTGTTTTTCCACCATTTCCAAAATTTATAGAACTCCCCAATAAATAACGCAATAAAATTAGAAAGGAGAGAAATCAATACATAATGTTTGGGTGATGTTGATGATGGAGGAAGACTGATTGGAGAGAGAACGGAGAATGGAGGAGGGGGAGGTGATGCGGAGATGGAAGATGGTGATCGACGTTGATGCCAAGGATGGAAAATGGCAGCGATCGAGAAGAGAACGAGGCTTAAAATTTCTTCTAAAGCATTGCGGGGGGAGAGACATAGATGGAGATATGATAGGAGATAGTAGGGGGAGGAGAGGAAAGTGGGTGAGAAAAGAGAGAGAGAGATAGAGAGAGTCGGTGAAACAAAAATAATAATTAAAAGATACAAGTGTCGTTTTTTAAGGAGACCACATCATGTGTTGAGGAAGAATGACTTCTGATAAAGCATTGTCCTACTTTTATTAGACAATATGTTTCCCAACTAAAAGAATATATATTTTTTTTATCGTGGCATACATATTTTGAAATAACTATTTTCGAATATTAAACAATTTGAACGTATTGGGTTCATAGACATTTTGAGATCAACTATTGCTCCATTTTTACTTTTTCCCTAGAAGAATATAATTTGTATTATGCAAAGCGCCATGGAGGCCAAGTATGGCAGAGCTCTCATAAGCTACGGTGATGAGGCTCTTTTTAGTGATGTTGAGTTTTGAAGGTTTTTCCATGATCTCACAAGAAGCACCGAAACATGAGTTGTTGTTGCGTTACTTATACGACAACCTTCTAATTAGGCAAAGTTAGGAGAACTCTCATTAAATCGCACACAAGTCTAGACTGTGCATGCAGCGTTCGAGACAATATCATAACATTTAGTTAAGAACGCATTAGTGTTTCATCACAAGTTTTATAAGAGTCAAATAACCACGGTCTAAATATAACATACTTCCACGGTCCACCTAAGATAAAACACTTGCACTGCAGTCTTCTTCGTACTTGATGTTTGCTCTTTACACTTGTACAGTTGTGGAATTTCCGACTTCATGTTTTGAGGGCCACGGGACCCGCGAGCGCCCATGTTTTTGGATAATGAATTGTATTTCGGGTCGGACCAACATCAAATGAGGCCGAAATAAAAAAGAAAAAGTAAGGCCCACAATGCGGCTTGTCCAAAGATCAATATAAACTCAAGCCCATAGTTGCAGGAAGATCGGGTCGGATCCAACTATTTGAATCAAAACCCAGAATGTGGAAAAGGGCCACCTATATATAGTCCACACTTAGCGCCACTCGTGAGCTCCAGCTTAGTTTAGGGTTTCATTCGCCGTTCCAGAAACCCCAAGGCCACTGAAGATCTTGACCACCCGAAAATGGTATACTGCAAACCCTAATTCTGTCTTCATCCTTTTATGCATGCTTGAATCTTATGCTGCACTGCGAGCAACTGTTTTTGACTTGTATGTTTGTGGCTTTGATGATTTCTGTTGTTGGCGTGAAATGTAGAATTTCATACAATCTCATGGGATTGGAATAAGATTTCATTTGTAAAATCCTGGTGTTTGTTCATGTGAATTTAAACTGATGAAGCTTATTAGATGATGGAGTATTTTTTTTTCTTTCACATTTGATGCATTATGTTAAACGAGAAAAATTATGCGGCTCTGTTCTATCTCTCTCACTAATATCTTCATCCAATTAAACTGATTTGAGTGTTGGTTTTTGTATCCCCACCTCTTGTCTTGTTTGTTTAAGAAGCTTGCTTTTAGCCTTTATTGTTGGGAAGATCCATAAATGTAAGGCTGACTTCAATATTTCTGTAAACACTTGTGGGATGGGATTGTTGGTGTATCAATTATTCAACGTAATTGTGTTGTAACCCCAATTAAATTTGTGACATACTTAGATATTGGCTACTTTTTGTTTGTTTCAATTGTCTCATTTTCTTTCGTTTTGCAGGCTCCCAAAAGAGGTGTAAAACCGGCCGCTGCAGCAAAGAAGAAAACTGTATTTCCTATAGCTCTTCATTTTCTTATTTTATTTATGAAGCATTGACTTGTAAACTTAAATTTGGTTGTAGTTTTTTGTCTGTTATCAAGTGTTTGAATGTCTTTTTTCATTGCTATCTTTAGGAGAAGGTTGTGAACCCATTATTTGAAAAGCGTACAAAGCAGTTTGGGATCGGCGGTGCTTTGCCTCCAAAGAGAGATTTGCACCGATTTGTGAAATGGCCCAAGGTTGTCCGTATCCAAAGGAAGAAGAGGATCCTTAAGCAACGCTTGAAGGTCCCACCAGCACTTAACCAGTTCACCAAGACTTTGGACAAGAACCTTGGTATGGACCAGACTATCATGCTAGTTTCTGCTTGAGTAATTTCAATTGTTAGGATTGTTTTAAATGGATTTGATTAAACAAGGCTATCCAAAGACTTATATTCTTTTTTTTTGGGTCAGAATACTTGGATTCTTAACATATTTAGAAAATGTTTTGTTGGATAGGTGAACATAAGTTAATTTCCTACTGCAAAAGGAACGTATTATTCTTAATGCACACATTTTTCTACCTCTATACCACTGTCACTTATTCCTCATTCCTTCTCATAGATAGGCATATAATGCTATTGATAGTTTAAGCAAGGATTTGTACGTCTAAACTTACTGATTTGAGTTGTTAATGACTATTCCCTTCATGTTCTGTCATGTGATCTTTATCATGTTTTTAGTATAAGAAACATACATGGTGGAGCTATCTTTTGATTGTGTTCGTTGAAGTATTTAAATGATTTTTATGCTTGTGTTCTCAAATATTTATTGTTCTAGATAAACTCTTATAAGTAATTACCGCCAAACAGTTCTCAATATTTGTAACACTGCCTGCAGCTACAAGTCTCTTCAAGTTGTTGCTCAAGTACAGGCCTGAAGACAAAGCAGCAAAGAAGGAACGTCTGCTGAAAAGAGCTCAAGCTGAAACTGAAGGGAAAACCGTTGAGGCAAAGAAGCCAATTGTTGTGAAATATGGACTCAACCACGTAACCTACCTGATTGAGCAGGTTGCTAATCTATCACTGCATGCATCATATTGATTTGTTCCTTCCAGTGAATCTTGTTAAATGCATATGAGTTATGCTAACCAATGAGATGGTTTCCTGTCTCACAGAATAAGGCTCAGCTAGTTGTTATTGCTCATGATGTGGACCCCATCGAGTTGGTTGTATGGCTTCCAGCCTTGTGCAGGAAGATGGAGATCCCATACTGCATTGTGAAGGGGAAATCACGCTTGGGAGCGGTATAACTCAGTAATTTTTTCTGGTATTCTTGAAAGAATTAGGTATAATCCTGTCGTGAAAGATCTAAAGATATATATGTTACTGTGCTCACAGATTCTCCACAAGAAAACAGCGGCTGCACTTTGCTTGACCACTGTTAAGAATGAGGATAAGTTGGAGTTCAGCAAGATTCTGGAGGCTATCAAGGTATATCAAAAGATTCATGCAGATGATATACACGTCCATATTGTCTTTTTACTGATATGGTTCGTAAATGCACACGATATATGTTTCCTCATTTTTTGAATGATTTTCAGGCCAACTTCAACGACAAGTACGATGAGTACAGAAAGAAGTGGGGAGGTGGTATCATGGGCTCGAAATCACAGGCCAGGACCAAGGCGAAGGAGAAGCTCTTAGCAAAGGAAGCCGCACAGAGGCTGAACTAGGAAGTATCTTCCAGAGAGAGGAGAGGGTGTTGGTCATTTTCTTCTGTTTTTTCTGGTTCTTTGAAGACTAGCCTGTCCCCCCTATTATCACTTACAAATCAACTTGAGCTTTTATATCACTCTGGTTAGAGTGTGGATATGGTTTTTGATAGAACATCTGTAGCATCTACATTTCTCTTCATCTATTTTCATCCAAACCAGTTCTCCTTTAATATGTT